GTCATCAGCTTTAACAAATATACCATACTAATATATGACGTCAATTATACGAGAAACTGTGTGTGAAGGCATGAGTGGGTATATGAGAATTCTTTGTACTTGCTACCAAATTTTGCTGTAAACTTGGAAACTGCTCTAAAAAATAAAGTACATCAATTAAAAATCTCCCCCTCATGTTATATATTTAGAGTAGTTTGTTTTCCTGGAACAATCCATGAATATTAGCAGTTTGCCAAATACTTTTATTGACTTTCCAATCTGAAACTCTTTCACCCCCTTAAAAAAAAAAATAGCCATTCTGTTACTAGTAGTTAACTTTGTTCAAGTATCTTCTATCATTAAGTAAAATATAACACAACACAACACACCATGGATCTTTAAACCTCCTTTAAATAATTCTCTGTTTCTGTCTTACATAATTTTTACACTCCAGAATTTTGTATGCATAAACAAGCACACACAAAATATATACCTATATTTATATTTGTATATTCAAAATAGTATACAGCATTAAGAGATATGTGTTCAATTGTAGAAAAATTGAGCTCTACACATAAAGTTCCATTATCATCGTTGTTGAAAAGTAGCCCAAGCAGTACTTACAGGAATATTTATTGCATTAAATAGATTTACTATAAAAATGTTTGAAACATCCAAACAATTCAAAAAGCCAGAGAATGAATAGCATATTAAACACAAAGAAGGAGAAGGTAGGAAATAATTAAGATAAATGCAAAAGTGATAAATTAGAAAACAGTCAAACCAACTAGTAAAAGCCAGTTCTTTGAAAGGATTTACATAACAATGTGTATAAGTATTATCAATTACAAATGAAGGAAGCAGAAGTAAATGATAGTAGATAAGTATAATTCTACAAAACTTAGGTGTAGAAAAGATTTAATGCAAATAGGAAACACTGAAAATATTATCTGTATTTCAAGATAACAAATGATGGACCAAGAGAATGTTCTACCTAAAGAATTTCAGGTAATAAAAGAATTTTAGAGTTTGAGAATTACCATCTTGCAACCCATAATAAATTAATGGATGAAAATGATGGCTGCCAACATCATCACAAAGGAAACAACAGAAATTATCTATCTCTTAATGAAACTGTACCGTGTCACCTCTGGAGTATGCTTGCCAATAAACTTTAATATGAACAATATTGTACTTATAAAAATTGAAGGTTGTTAATGACAAATGTTAGCTAATTGAGTTCATTATTCTCTGTACTACTGCATATATTTGAGAATTTACATAATAACAGGATTTTACTATGAATATCATGCTTTTAAATATGAAAACTTACGTAAAATAGAACAATTTTTAGCAAAACGGAAATGACTAAAATGACCCATTAAAAAAAAAAAAAAAAAAACAGAACTCTTTGATTGTATAGTAAAACTGAAACTATAGTCCAAACCCAAAGTACCATCAAAGTGTTTTGGGACCAGCCAGGTTTAGATACCAATTACACCAAATGGTGAAAAAGAAACTGATCATCACCTCATATAAAGTCTTCTAAACAACACGAAAAGATTGGGAGAATTACTCCATCATTTTACCAGACTTGTACTCTTTGATACAAAAACAACATGAAGATATTCTAAGAAAACAACATTTGAGACAAGTTCATTAACAGAAGACAAAATATTCTCAATAAATTCATAGTACATCCAATATAGGCATATCCAACATAGCAGTGAATTAATGAATAAATAGCCTGCATCCAATAATTGCAAAGATAATATCACATTAGAAAATACCATCAGAATGAAATCACTATGTTACCAAAAATGGTGAAAAAACATGTGATCATGTGCAGGGGTGAAGAAAGGGCCAAAACAAAAACAAACAAACAAAAACACTCAACCCCAGTACATGATAGCAACTTTTAGCAAACTTACATCAGGAGAGAATTTCCATCTTGTAAAATCTATAATTGATATTCTAAATGTGAAACATTACAAACATCCCAAAAAGAGTCCAGCAGAATATACACCTATATAGTATAAACCCTATTGCTGACAATTGGATGAAAATACATCTATAGTGCACAACTATAAAAATAATAGTGAGTAAATTAGAGGTAACAACAACAAAAGGAGCTAATTGTGAAAACAATAAACTCTCCTGATTTAAAAAAGAAAACAACATAATTGGTGCAAAAATTATTTACATATCTAAGGAAATTATGAAAATGTGTGTACAAAAGATCACTATAGGTAAGTAAGGAGTGTAGTCACACAAAAACCAATAACTAATTATATCATGTAATGTGAAATATACCTTTCACAACAGCAACAATATCCAAAATACATCTAATAAAATATCAAATAGAAATGTACATGTTCATTAAGGAGACAGTCATCAAAATTTTCTGAAACAGGAAAAGGAAGTCTCCAATAAAGGAGTATACTATATACATTTACTGTGGAGAGGATATTGTAAAGATGTTGATTCTCCTTTAATTTTACACAGATTTATTGCCTTAAACCCAGGCTGTTCTTTCTCATGACCAAACTGAACCCTGGAAAAGTTAAAGGAACAATTTAAAAAAAATAATAAACAACATTAACAACAGCAAAACAACAAAATGAGACCCCTGAGAAACAGTAATTTTGTATTGAACAAGAACTGGTGTGTGGGCAGGTAGGGGCATGTGTTGAACTAGTGACAGGTATGAACTCTACAACAGAGGGATACAACAGAATTGGCTAAAGAAAAGTTTTTAAATATTGGTCTTTGCTTCCTTCATTGTGCCATGGTTCAATGCACTTTTTTTCTGCTTCACTAAAGGAAATTCAGTCAGGAACTCAGACCCCATGTGCCAGTTCCATGGGGTAATCCTGGGACAGCAAAAACATTTGGATAGGCTGAAGAAGTATGAACCCAGACAATGTGCTAATAGTACCTAAAACCTCCTTAGTGGAAGAGGACTGGCCTTTAAATTCATACTATTTTAATATAATATAAAGAATGGACTAAATGAGAATACCAAATATTGCAGTGAGTCATGAATGAAATATTTGGTATTCAAGTTTAGTCCATTCTTTATATTATATTAAAGATATATTTGTACTACGTGATAACGGTACAAATTCATTCATGAAAATGTTGAATATAGACACTGATGTCAGTTAAGAGAGAGACCCCAGATATAGCTGCCAGGCTAAGAAGTCCCCTCACTTTCTCCCTAGGCATTGTACAGGACATAGTCAGAGGAAGGGGATGGATTCATATGAGAAAATGGAGAAAACCAAGACCCTGTCAGCAATCAATGTGAGGACCCTGAGTGAGGAGTGAGGGGCTCCACAGCTCAGAAGAGAAAGGACTGGCCCCAGAATCTCCCTTCTTCCTCAATCTTGCATCACAACTTAATAGCAGCAGCCAGATCTAGGATGCCCCAGGCAGTAGTGGTCAGGTTAGGTATAACTGAATTACACATGAGGAGTCTCAGGAAGTTGAAGTCTAGTGTGAGAGGGTGTCCTCAAGTTAGTAGAGGGTACATGGCAAGAATGAAGCCAAGACACTCGGTGAGGGCTGAGGGCAAACTCCATTCCAGAAGAGGGGCTGCCACAGAGCCCCTCCCCTACTGCCAGTCTTGGAAGGTCCTGGCATGGCTTCCAGTCTTGGGCTCTATCTTACTTCCTACTCTGGACTCTAGGGAATGAGATCCTTGATCTCCGGTTGACTGATTTAGCTCAACAGACAGAGAAGTCCAAGGGTCCACAAAGAGCCCCCTGAAAGAACTTTACGTGAGTTCTGTGGAATCTGCTGTGTCCACAGAATACCGGGGAGAGTGACAGAGCCCCGCCCCTGCTGTTACGCTGGGAATGCCAGGTGAGGGTGTCCGGAAGTGGTTCCCCCTGACTTCCGCCTAGAAAGGGGGCTAGGCCCGAAGCCTTCATCTGTAAAGTGCTGTGTCACCTCAGCGGCGTTCAAGATCTTCTCAGCTGTTTTGGTGAGTATTCTGACCTAAAACTGGGGGTAAATGCCCCAGCAACCGCAACCCCTTCCCCCCTGGGGAAAAAAAAAAAAGCGGCTCTAGAGAGCCCTGTCCCATCTCGCCCCTGAGCGGGTCCCTGAGGAGTCCGCAAGCATGGCCGCTAGGCCCAAAGTGCATTCACTTTTTCCGTCGGGTTGAAGAGCATGAAGGCCTTGGTCCAACGCTGGTGGACTCAGGTCAGGAGGGAGAGAAATCTCAGGCACTCCATAGTTAAAAGTGAATCCTCCTTAAGATTGAGGGGACTCCATGCCCCAGAACGGGGTGACAGCGAATTCTGCTGCCGACGCCAGTTTGGGGTCCCGGCAGGTCTCTAGAGACTGAAGTGCATTCTCACTTTGTTCCCGTGAGCGTCAGAGAAGTATAGGGCCCGGGTTGTAAGATGGCGGCAGGTCAGCGAGGACGATTTCCAGGTTGTGGGAAGAGGCGGGGTGAGGAGTCTGATTACCGTGGGGACAATTCTCACTAAAACAGCAAGAGCAGTCAAATCTCTTCAGTACTGTCAGCCCTAGGTGGTCTGAGTGACCCCAGAATGAAGTGTTGGGCAGAAGTGCTTCTTTATTCCCTCCTCGTTAGGACTGTAAAAATTCCTAGTGTCAATTTTAGAGCTGCAGAGGAGAATGGGCCTCTGGGTCTTGTCAATTTTTATGATGATCCTGAACATAAATATAGAGGATCAGACCCCTGAACAGAGGGGCCCCCATTGCCAGCCCCTGCTGTCACCTCAGTAAGCCCCAAAATGGGCCGTCATGCTACAGTCTAATACTCACTCTTAACTTCCTCCTGAGTTCCAAGGACACAAACTGACCAGAAGAATACGAGTCCTGTGAGTTCCTAGAGCCGTTGTTTCTCAGAAACCTGTAGAAGGGGTCCTGGTTAAAGCCAAGATGGTCGCTCTCTGCTGAAGGTGTTGATGTGATGTCACTCTCTCCCGTCCAGGTGCCAGCCTTCCTGCCCACACTCCTACCTGCTGTCACAGGCCACAACCATCATGCCTCGGGGTCACAAGAGTAAGCACCGTGCCCGTGAGAAACGCCGAGAGACCCATGGTCAATCTCAGGATCTCACAGGTCCCCAGACCACTGCAGAAAAGCAGGAAGAGCCCCGCTCTTCCCCTTCTTCTTATCCTGTTTGTCAGGGTGCTCGTCGGAAGACTTCTGATTCCTCCGTTCCGCAGGAGTCTCAGGGAGCTTCACCCACTGCCTCTCCTGATGCAGGTGTTTCATGCTCAAAATCTGATGTGGCTGCCAAGGGTCAAGATGAGAAAAGTGCAAGCACCTCCCCTAATGCCTCTGTTCCTCAGGGGTCTCAGAGAGCTTCACCCACTGCCTCTCTTGATGCAGGTGCTTCATGCTCAAAATCTGATGTGGCTGCCAAGGGTCAAGATGAGAAAAGTGCAAGCACCTCCCCTGATGCCTCTGTTCCTCAGGAGTCTCAGGGACCTTCACCCACTGAATCTCCTGATGCAGGTGTTTCATGCTCAAAATCTGATGTGGCTGCCAAGGGTCAAGATGAGGAAAATGCAAGCACCTCCCCTGATGCCTCTGTTCCTCAGGGGTCTCAGGGAGCTTCACCCACTGCCTCTCTCAACGCAGGCGTTTCGTGCTCAAAATCTGATGTGGCTGCCAAGGGTGAAGATGAGGAGAGTGCACACGCCTCCCAGAGAGCCATGTACTTCAAGAGCTTAGGCCGAGATCCTATAAGCAAGAAGTCATGGGAATTGGTGCAATTCCTGCAGGAGAAGTTTGAGAAGAACGAGTCCATTTTGAAGGCTGACATGCTGAAGCTTGTCAGCAAAAGGTACAAGGAGTACTTCCCTGAGATCCTCAAGCAAACCTCTGAACATTTGGTGGTGACCTTTGGCGTTGAATTGAAAGAAATGGATTCCAGTGGTGAATCCTACAACCTTGTCAGCAAGCTGGGCCTCTCCAGTGAAGGAAGTCTGAGTGGTCATAATGGGCTGGCGAAGTCGGGTATCCTGATGTCAGCCCTGGGTTTGATCTTCATGAAAGGCAACCGTGCCACTGAAGAGGACGTCTGGGACTTTCTGACCTTCCTGGGGATCTCCGCTAGGATGACACACCCACTCTACGGGGATCCTGAGAAGATCCTTACTGAAGATTTGGTTCAAGCAAAGTACCTGGAGTATCAGCAGGTACACAACAGTGATCCTCCACGCTATGAATTCCTGTGGGGTCCACGAGCCCATTTTGAAACCAGCAAGATGAAAGTCCTTAATGTTTTTGCCAAGATCAATAACACCGTCCCCGGGTTCTACCCACATCTGTATGAAGAGGCTTTGATAGATGAGGTAGAGAAAGCATTGAGAGTGAACTTTTAAGGCAGCGCTAGCATGGTTTCCTTGGCCAAGGCACCTTACAGGGCCACATCCTACAGATCCTCCCATTTCTAGGGAGGTCTGAAGTAGAATTTTTGTTTGATGTTAGAGGAGAGTAGTGAGCCTTCTAAGTAGTGCAGTATAGTAGAGGCTGGAGGGAACAGGACGTGTTTCTTTCTATTGTCCTGTTACACATGAGTAATTTGTAGATTTGTGTTTTGCTTTCTTTGTCAATTTTCAAGATTGTTCCTGTTAAGTGAAGGTTTATATTGCTTCAGATTATAAATGTGTCAGTAACTTAGCTTTCACATTCATGGTTGTTTAACCAGTCTGAAAGTTATGGTTGTGGTATTAATAAAACAAATCTCACAGCATTCATGTTTTTGTTGTAATTCAGAACTACATAAAATGGCAATAGAGAAGGGATTTTCATATCAATCTTGATATCCTAATATGATTAGAAAGAAAAATAAAAAGGAAATGTAAATGTTCCTTAATTCTTGGTTTGCCTTATTTTTTTCCTATTTATTTTAGTTTAAATAAAGGATACCTGGATTTATTCAGGTTCTTAAAGACTGCTGTTAGTGTGTTTTGTTCTAATGCGCTGAATATTCTGTTATTGACTGGTATCAAAAAGTCTCTCTGGTTGGAAGGAGGTATTTTCTGTGTTTAAAATAATTATATGAAGTGCAGCGATCAATATAAGCCTGAATGAGTTCACTAAAACTCTTTTTGAAATGAGGCTGCTAAATTCAAAGAACTTCCATAAGCTTAAATTGTCTCAAATATTTTCAACATGTGGTAATTTTGTTTCTGAATATATCATTAGGGAAATTAAAATTAATAATATTATGTAAAAACACATTATGGCAACTGTCATTTATTAGATACTCAATATTTCCTACTTAGTAAGCCATATTTCTTATAGACAATACTTATACCACAAAATTCCAACAAGACAGGGTTTAGCAGACGAACTTCAGAAATGACTAAGTGGCCCATTTCTAAAAGTTCACAGGCTTCTAATTTACAGAGCTGGAATTAGGTCTCTGGTCTGGATTCAACTAGAGCCCACATTTTTGCAGTCCTCTCAGCTTGAGCCAGATGTTGTGTCTTTCAATTCATTTTTCCTTTCACTGCCCAAAATATTTATCAGAGCATTAAAAGGACACAGTAAACAAAGCACTTCTTTGGAATACACAGTGTAATAATAATGCTGAATACATGAGTAGTATGAAGAAACAATAATATTCAGTGACAATATTATTATCTTCACATGCAACATCAGATAACCTGATAAGATCAGGAGCTCCCAAAATCATCCTGCTCTGCCCTTTCCCCATAGAAATTAAGTCTACTCAAACCAAGATACTTAATATGCTAAGTCTGGTTGGTGAAACAAAGGAATAGGTAAGTGTGTTTTTTTCACTGACAGCCCACTACCTGTGCTGGACCTCCTGCCTTGTGGTACAGCTTCCCTATTTCATACAAAATCTGGGACAGGGAGCCATTGTCTGCAAGGTTTGCAGTAGAGAATCTGCTCAGTTGTTTGCAAGTCTGTGACATTTTCCAGCAGTCTTAAATCTAAAGGAGGCAAGATGAGAACCCCGATCAATGAGGATTCTGGAGACCAATGCCTCAGAATATAGGGATCACTGAGAGAGCAGGCCCTGCCTACTCTCAGATCTAGAAGGCCCAAGCTATAGCTGTAAGCTAAAATTTCTCTATTCAAGTTTCTCAGGTATTTAAGAATCCTGGTCTAAGGGTAGTGTGCTCCAGTTAGTGGGAAGAGGATATCAGACTCTGAAAACTCTCAAGATGAGGACTCTCAATGAGAAATGAGTAATGATCCACCCAGAACAATAGCGGTTCTTAAAACTATATCCTTCTTTCTGCCTTCAGTGGCCCTGGGCACAGATATCTGGTTGAGGTTCCCCCTCACTTTCTCTAGGTCTTCTACTGATGCCTCAGAGAGAGAAAGGCTTTGATCTCATGGAAATAGCTCTGATTCTGTCCATGAAGGAAATCCTAACAAGCCTGGATTGTATTTAAGGTGAGGACACTGGGGTAGCCACAAAGTAGCACCTTGACTTCCCTGTCTCATTTCTCAGGAAAGGGCAAGCTTTGGCTTGAGGCTGACCGACTCAAATTAGTAGAGGAGGGAGTTCCACATGCCCTCATCAGTGTTAGAAACCTGAGTGAGAACTGATGGGGCCACTGACTCCAAAACAATGGGAAAGGATTCTGACCCTGCTATTAATCCACAGGAGATCCTCAATCACTGTAGCGAGATATAGATGTTCCTAACTTCCATTTGGGACATTCCAGGAAGATATGGCCTTGGTCTGAGGAGTGTGGCCTTGTCAGTGGAGGGTGGAATTTCAGGTTTGGTTAGGTAGGAGTCAAGGTAAAGACACTGATGGAGGATAGAGGAGACCACTCACTCCAGAACAGAGGGAATGTACAGTGTCCTATATCTGTCGTCAGCCCTAGGAGGCCCAGGGAAGAGCTAACAGGCTGAAGGGTCCCCTCAGTTGCTCTGGGAGTAGTCTCAGGGAATTGAGAGCCTTAGTCTAATGGGAGCAACCCTATTCAGCAGAGGATGTCTAATAGGAGTCACACTGCTGACCCTAAAGAGGGTTAATGGTACTCCTCCCAGAACAGGTGGAGCCACACAGAACCCTGCCATTGATGTCTCTCCCTAGCAAACACAGGAATTCTGAGATGACAAGTCCCACTGATTTCATTTTAAGGCATCTCAGAGAGGTAAGGTACCTGGACTAAGGGGTCAGCCTCAGGTTAGTACAGGGACAAATTTCAGGTCACACAAACAGCCAAGCTGAGGACCATGAGGATTGAAGTAAGCACTCAAATCACAAAAGTACAGACAATGCAGAATCCTTCGCATGATGTCAGCCCTGGGTGAACATAAGGGTTTTGTGCTCAGATGAGGAAACTCTTACATTCTTCTTTGTAGTCTTAGGGAATTAAAGGCTATAGATGAACAGAAAGGCCTCTACTTCTTAGGACTCTTCATTGTGAGGACCTTGAGGAAGGACTGCAGGGAGCAACCAACCTAGAAGAGAGAGGAACTCACAGAACCCTGTCCCTTTCAGCCCTGGAAATCTCCAGGCAGAAAGAACTGGATATGTCAGCTGTTTATTCCTAGCCCTGGAGGACTCGGGTCACTAGAGGGAGGAGTCAGAGATCCTGGCTGAGTGAGAACTCAAGGAGTCACCAACCCTCAAACAGTGGAGTCTCATAGACTCTCTCCTACTATTAGTTCTCAGAATCCCCAAATAGGTAAGGTGAGATCACTTTGACTTCCAGGTTTGGGGACTCCAGGTGTTGAAGAACTTGGTCTGAAGCTGGTCATCTCATCATAGAGAATGTTATCAGCTTGAGCCAGGAGTCAGGGCAAGGACTATGAGGAAGGAGCAGAACATGAAACATAACAATGGAGGCAGCACATCATCTCTCCCATACTGTTAGTCCTGGGAGAATCGGGGAGAAATGTCAGGCATGGCAAAAGACCTCTCAATTCCTTCTCAGGGTGACAGAGAAATGAGGGCCTTATTCTGAGGGGGTCAGTAATGGGCCAAGAAATGGAGAAATTGTGGGTACTGTCATGAGTCAAAATGAAGAATCTGAGTGAGAACTGGTGAGGCCAACCATCATGAGACCCAAAAGGGCATGCCACAGCTTTCTGCCTTGGGAGAGTACAGGCAGGTATGGCCAAATAGGATTTCCCTCTCTTCCCTCTACTAGGTCTCAGAGAGTTCTGGGCCTTGCTATGAGGAGACACCCTCAGGTCAAAGGATACAGGATCTGCAGATCCTTCTAGGAGTCAAATTGAAGATTCTGGGTGAACACTAAGGTGATCATAGTCCTTCCCCCAACAGAAGAGGAAACACAATGTCCAGCCCCCACCCTGGCTTTCAGCATTTGAAAGTCCATAGCAGGACTGTCAGGCAGAGGCTTCTCCAATGTTTTTTATTAGGTCTACAGGAGGTAAGATCCTTAGTAAGAAAGTGAAGCCATGATGGCGCAGAAGAGGAGCTTCCAGGCCCTACGCAGAACCAAGATGAGAACTCTGAATAAGGACATAGGATCCAGTGAACCCAAGACAGAAAGAATCCCCCAAAGTTGTCACCACTGACAGTGATGGTAGGCTGAGGCACCCCCTTACTTTTTGTGGGTTTCAGGGGTCTTTAAAGTGTCAACTTCAGAGCAGCACAAGAAAGAGGTACCAGGCCCCGCTAACAGTTAGTTAGCATAATAATCCTGAATGTCAACTGAAACTACTCCTCAACCCCAGAACACAGGGAGCCCCATAGTCTCTGCTGCCACCCCAGTAGGTCCCAAGCTGGGCTGTCAAGCTGCAGCCTAAGACTCACTCTAACTTGCTTTGTGGGGTTCTCAGGGGACAGGCTGACTGGGAGAACTAGTTCCCCATGGGTTCCTAGATCAGTGATTGCACAGAAACCTGGACTGGCAGCGTTGGTTAAAGCCAAGCTGGTCACTGCCTGCTGACGGTGTTCACACTGTTTCATTCTCCTTCCACCAGGTGCCTGTCTCAGCAGCCATCCTATTCACATTTCTGTCTTCTGTCCCTTCCCACAGTCATGCTTTGGGGTCAGAAAAGTAAGTTCCACACTCATGAGAAATGTCACTAGGGTCTCCAGGGTGCTCATTTCACTGCAGGAGAGGAAGAATCCCTCTCCTCCTTTTCTCCTGTTTTGAGGAGTGCTCCTCAGATCTATCTTGCTACTGACATTCTCCAGGAATCTCAGAGGGCCGTCTTCATCATCACTGCTTCTGTAGATGTTTCATGCGCAACATCTGATGACAATGCCAACAGCCAAAATGAGGAAAAGCTAAGCACCTCTCCAGCAGCAGCCTCCACTCAAGCTCACACAGAGAACTGCTATTCAGCAAGGGAAGTTTGGTAGCACAGTTCCTACTGGAGAAGTGTAAAATTAAAGAGCTCATTACAAAAGCAG